GTTCTTTTCAAATCCCTTCTAAAACAAGAAAGTGTAAATAATTCTTCGGAAATCACGAATCAAAAACATGAAACTCAAGTCCTTTTCACTTCACGTATCAAGCAACAAAAGTAGGATCGCTTTAAGCTTGAAATTTTCTTGGCTTTAAAAAAAAAATTATACCTCTTTTTGATCGTTTCCAAGCGAAAAATGTGTCGTTTCCTCCTGTGTTGCTTCATCGTGCTCTGGTTTACTTCTGTACTTATCCAGTATTTCATTTGCACGCTGCTTGTTCAATTCAGCAGCTGTATTTAAATCATCCAACGAATGGCTTTCGGCTAATCGAGTTCGTGTTCTAGCTTCTGGAAAATCCCAATATTTGAATATCATCTTCAAAAAAACTCAGCAAGTAACTCTGTTCAACGAATTATTCGCCTGCTTGCAAAAAATTCACTTTCTGACCTTAAAATCATTTTATACATGCAGAATATTGCATAGGCCGAAAAATTTACACTTTTCTTTACAAATTTACAAAAAAAATTTTTAACAAAAATTTACAAATTTGCACTTTTCTTAGAAATTATGTAATTAACTCGCTTACCGTTATTACTCTTCACAAATATTTAAGCTTTCTTATTCTTCATTGTTCAATCTATTCTATGACTAACCCAAAAATCACATTTTTTTAAATTCTCTTTACTTCTTCCTGATTTTTGTCACGAATGATATAAGCCAAATTGAGGTCCAATTAATAAAAATCTTATTTCTATTAAAGATATCAATTAATAAAGCTATTTTACTCATTTGTTAATGTTCATTTTACTTCTCAAAGTTAATTCTTTAACATTTTGAACAGATATATGATAGTTCTCATGCAGCTTACCTGGACGTTTGGTTGCAGCAGCGACCGAAGAATCCGTTTCTTCATCAGCTTTTGAGGAACTGATCTCATTCATTGCAGCGGCTTGAGAAAATGATTGACGAAGTGAACTTACTACTGCACCTAGAAACAAACCCACGAAACATTTTAGCTAATTTTCCTCAACAGCGCTGCGATTACTCAGATGGTGCCCTGTGACGCCATAAAGTTAGTCATCACAAATCTCAGCGGACTTGTGAGCGGCGATATATAACATAAACTAAAGAAATCCCGAGAAACACAAAAGCTAGGAAGCTGAAATTTTAGGAGAATCTTCCTTAGTTGCATATGACCCTGTAAAATTAAATTCAGCTTTGCTAAGCGATTCTGTTTGCAGAACTGTTGCGCTAGTTATGCGATTTTGCATCTATGCAATGCAGAAAACACATATTGACGAAAGGTTGTCTTGTGTGCGCTGCGCGTCTGTACCAATTTTCATCTCGAGGCCCACAAAAGCTACAGGGCTGAAACTTTGGGGACTTAATCTACATGCGTGTATGGGCCACCATCTCCGAAATGGGCTCCCTTACCCGCGTGGTGCCCACGTATGGGCTCGCCAAAGTTTTTCCGGGTAAGTTGCTAACTCGGGGACTTGAAAAAAGCTAGAATTTTAAGAGGATGTTCCCTGTCCAAGTAGGTATTAATGAGTTCAAATCCGGCCCTTTGGTATATTTGGTACCCACGTACGGACCTGCCAAAGTTTTCGGGTATATTGCTAACTCGAGAACCTGAAAAGCTAGAAGACTGGAATTTTAAGAGGATGTTCCCCACGTAAGTCTTAACGAATTCTAACCTAGCCCCCGGGTATGTCTGTTTCCTATGTACGAACTAGTGTAAGTTTTTTGCGGGTAAGTTACTAACTCGGGAATCAGGGAAGCTAGAAAGCTGAAATTTTAAGCGGATGCTTCCTGGCAGTCTTGGCGGCCAGTCTCAATTCTTTTAGCTAGAAGCATCTGCCGGAAAAACCAGTGCTGCGACAAAAACCTAGGCGAAACTACGCAAAAAATGCATCTTCGCACGGGTAACCCGTACGCTGGTCAATTATTTTCTTTTCATGAGACGAAACAAGCGTTAGGATCGTCAATAAGGCTGATGAAAAAGAAACGGAGCACTGGTCTGAGCAACTGTAGAAGTGAGGAATCAAAAATGGAACCGTGAATCACTGTATGCAGACACAAAATTGTTGTTTGTTTTTTCGTCAAAAACTTTTAAAACTTCTTTTAAATTGGCAAAAATTATAAGCCTCTCTTCAATTAACTTCTGTGAGGGGCAAACACACCAGAAATAGCCCTTACAGTAAAATTTTGGTTCTCTTTTGCAAAAATAATCCCAAAAACAAGATCCAGGTGGTTTGATCTCTACATAAATGATGTTTTAAGTGCTACGGATGTGAACAAGCATACTATTATCAATTTATTAATTAAATACATATGCACTAATGGAAAAAGGAGACGGGTGTGGAAAACGTACCTTTTCTTATTTTGAACGATTCGCTCACTTTATGCAACCCGTGAAAAAAGTTGATTTTTTTTCGTGACAGCGGACTTTCACTTCTCTCGCTCTCTTCGTTCTTTCGACCTTCAAGAAAAGCAGTCATAACATCTGGTAATTCTTACTCTAAACTTGTCGTTTCCCTAACCAAACAGCTTGAATTTCGCCTCTCTTTCTTCTCCCCTCTCCTCCTGCACCCTTCCCTCTCTCCTCCATCCGCCTCACATGAACTCAAAGTCATTTATCCGCTTCGAATGTGTCAACCGACCAACAGCAATTACCTACTACTGACAGTGCTATTAATGGATATTACCACTTTTTTGTTGCTATTTGAGTAAAAGGGAACCGTTTCCAGCTTCCGGCATATAATGCACACCAAGTGCTATTAAATCAATCATTTATCATAAAAAAATTCGCCCCCGTCTTGAGGACTCTAGCGATCGGTGAAGTCGTTTTACGGGCTAATAATTCTGTGATTGCCTTAGCAAACAAAAAAAAAAAGGT